CCCCAAAACCCCAAAACCCCAAAACCCCAAAACCCCAAGAGTTATAATCCAAGTTGAGTTATTAGCTTAAATTATCCATTTTTTATTCAATAACCATTGTTTGGCAAATACCTTCGTCAAGAGTTAGGGTCGTTAACTTCCTGTCGAAGTAGCTAGTGTCATGGTCGTGCTCTAGATCAGGGATAAATGGAGGTTCTAGATCTTGAGAGATGCATTTCTCCCAGTCTATTGAAGTGAAAAATGGGTGATCTTTGATGATCTCAATGTCACCCGATTTCGAACCTAATCTTAACTCAGGGTTGGGTTCTAGAAACCTCCATATTAAATCATCGGCTTCTGAGAGTTTGCTTTGGTACTCAGTCTTTGTGTGTTTGATTGATTCAGAGAAACTATTATTTTTAGAATCCTTGGTTGACTCCCGAGATGTATCGGGAAGTCGACCATAAATCATTGAATAGAGCAACACACCGTAACTCCAGAAATCAACACTTTTATCATAGTTCTGCTTTGATTTCACTTCCGGAGCGAGATACTCAGGTGTTCCTCAAAAGGTATCAGTCCTTTCGTCTTGTTTATCTTCACGATCTTTGATGATTTTTGAGATGCCAAAATCTACCAACTTTATATGACCTTGTTTATCTAACAAAATATTCTCCATTTTCAGGTCTCTGTACATATATCCTGAATTATGAAGATATTCAAGTGCGAGGAGGATCTCTGAAGCATAAAACTGAACCTCAGGGAGTGAGAATTTTCGCTTGTTGTTGAAATGGAACCTTAAGCTACCTCCTGGTGCAAATTCAAGAACGAAAAATACCCTATCTTTAGATTGAAATCACTTCTCCATTCTTATGATAAAAGGGTGGTGAACCTTCTCCAAGATTTCTTTCTCTGTCTCTAGGTGTTCATAATGCTTAGGTCGCTTAAAAAGAGTTTTTCTAATTATTTTCATGGCACAATATTTATTAACTCCTTTGTTATGTACTAATACAACTTCTCCGAAAGCACCCCTCCCTATCAGCTTTATAGGGGTGTATAAATTATCAATTGTTTGGCTTTCCTCCAGATCAAGACTAATTTCAGAGTTTTGTAGACTCATTTTTTGTAAAAGCTTATTTCTTGACGGCCTAATCTCTACATTTGGTTTGAGACAAACTGATCCCATTTGTTAATATATTTAATATTCCATATGATATTGCATTTTTGGGGTTTTGGGGTTTTGGGGTTTTGGGGTTTTGGGGTTTTGGGG